CGACTTCTGGCCGAAGTCCGCATCAAACCAATTGTCATCTTCGATGGCCAACGATTGCCCGCCAAAGAGGTGACCCACGAAAGCCGCCGATCGGCGCGCCGTTCCGTACGCCAGAAGATTGAGTTACTCTTAGCCGATGGACACGAAGCCAAAGCCCGGGATCTGATGAGGAGTTGTGTGGAAGTGACGCCTCATATGATTAAATGCCTGATGAATGGCCTCCGAGAAGATGGCGTTGACTTTGTTGTGGCGCCCTATGAAGCGGATCCACAGATGGCTTATATGGTTAACAACGGATTCGCTGACTTCGCCATCACCGAAGACTCGGATCTTCTTGTCTACAACTGTAGACTTTGTTTGTTTAAATTGGATTCAAACGGTTCCGGAAGACTAATGGACGCGTCGCTGATCACCGGTTGTTTGGGCAGTGGTTTTGATTTCAGCAAATTCAGACACATGTCTATACTTTCAGGTATGACACGACATATGACCACTTGATTGTCCAATAATTATTTGTTTGTCTTAAAGGTTGTGATTATTTGCCAAATTTGCCCGGAATTGGTCTCCAGAGGGCGAAAAAGTTCTTCAAAATGACCGCAAATACCGATCTGAGGACTGTTTTGTATAAAATCCCGAGTTATCTGAAAATGAATGGAAAAGTGAAAATAACCAAAGATTATGTCAACGATTTTATTAAAGCCGACAATACATTCAAATATCAACTCGTGTTTTGTCCGAAATCCCGAAAATTAGTTCCTCTGACGCCATACGAGAAGGACGTCACGCCTCAGGAGTTGACGTTTGCCGGCACTCACTTTCCCTCACAATTGGGCGAAGACTTTGCCTTTCAATATGCCATTGGAAACGTTGACACAAAATCACTAGAAATCATAGATGACTATAGCTTTGAACCAAAAGAAGATAGTATTTGGTCTAAGGATTGGTTTAATTATAAGAAAATGTTGACCACAAATGAACTAATATTACAAAAGTGTAATCCAAGTAAAACAATGGCCACGAATGATAGCAAACAAACGCCTGTTCTTCAAACCCGAAGTCCAAACAAGAAGACAAACGAATTGCAAGAATCAGTCACTTCTCGTAAACGTCTGAAAGTAAATGAAAGTCAATTCATTAATTGCCGACAATTAATGACAGAATATTCATCTGAGGTTAAGGCGGATAAAAGCCCTCCGAAACCCATTTCAACACAAAGTAACTACACTTTGAATAAAAGTATTTATTCACGAAATATATTTAAAGTGACGAAAAACAGCGACAATGAGTCGAAGCAAATACTTCAAAGCAAATACTTCTCAAACATTAGCCATAAGAATGAAGAGTCGAATGACCAGACATTTGTCCACAAGAATCAAATTAATTCGCGAATGATTTGTGACAAAAGTCCCAAACAATTGTATTCTCATGAAGGCCGCCATTCCGTTCGCCGTCTCGTCATCGCTGGAGACGCACGAAGTGAAGGGCCGTAAAGTGAGGGGACGGGCCTATGGCTGGGGTATTGTCGAGACCGAGAATCCCGAGCACTCGGACTTTGTTATGTTGCGGTCAATGCTCGTCACGCATATGCAAGACCTCCGCGAAGTGACTCAAGACGTTCACTACGAGAACTACCGCTCCCAACGACTGGTGGCCCGCAATATATCTAATTCAGACCTTCGCGATAACATCAGTATCTCTTCTGACGACACCTCTAAAGACCGCATTCTTCAGGAGAAAGAGGCGGAACTGAAGAGAATGCAGGGAATGATTGAACGGATGCAGAGGGAGATGATGGCGCAGCAACAACAGGCCGGATGGGTTGTGGATGGGAACCACCAACAGAATAATGGCGTCAATAATAGTGTTAACAATCAATGAGCCGTAGGTTAAGAGGAATAATGAGAAGATATTGGCTTTAAATGTGTTTTGCACTCAAATCCAAATTTTACTCTTTTATTCAGACATCGAATTACAATTAATATAAGCCTTAACTCTGCCTTTCATACCAAAAACTTATTGATTTATAAATACCTTGAATTTAAAAATAATTTTTTAATTTTATTAATAGTTTTTGTTTATTAATAACAGAAATATTAATATTATTCTCTACTGACTATAATTATATTTAAAAATGTTGATATTTTTATATAAACTTTTTTTGTATGTATTAAAATGCTTTTATAAAACTTATTTTGCAATTAAATTATATCACTTTTAAATGTATAATTTGTTCGTTATTTATATAGTATTCAAAGAGATGTTTATATGTTCTAGAAATTCAGCTAATTGTATTAAAACAAATGTATTTTACATAAGTTTTATATGAGTATGTTTTAATCTCTCTCTCTCTCTCTCTCTCTCTCTCTCTCTCTCTCTGGTATTATATCACTAACAACTCTCTCTCTAACGGTATACTATTAAACTTTGCAAACATTAGGCCTTTTCCATAGCGTTCTCGTGTATTGCTTAAGGCTCTGCCTGTAGGCAGCGATCAGAGCCAAAGAGAGTGTGAGAGAGAGAACGCACTACACGTACACTAATATCACTGTTTGGATATATAATAGATTCACTACTATTAAATTATGACTATTAATATAGATTTTACATCCAATAATAATTTACAGATTTTATTAATTATAAAACAAATAACATTTTATTTTGCAATAATAATAAACATGTAATGATTTTAATTAATTAATTACTAAATTATATAAATTATAAAACATACGCTAAACTAATTATTAATTAGTAATTAATAAATGCAATGATTTTGCGTTAATACTGCCGAACACTATAATGTAGACAGGGATAAAACACACCAAGGGGTGACGTTTTGGCATTGGCTTTAACTTTGTATCAACGACACCAATTGTGTGAACTGACCCCTCCCTGGCGTATATATAATGTTAGGTGATGTGGTGGTGGGGTAGGGGTTGACCATAATGGTGGTAGTGGTGATGGTGGTGGATTGGGATGACTGCTAAGCCCTACACAGGGTTTACCAAACTTCGCATTTGTGGACCGGATTCATGGGACTGCCATCGGGACAGTTGTAGGCCCGGGCGAACTCACGAGAATTGTGTAGAGTTCCGATCACCCTATTGGCGATTTAGGAATGAACCATGTTGGTTGCATAAATTTAATATAGAATTAATTTGATGGGACGGGTGTGTGGAGGCATAGGGGGGCAGAATAAGTAATACCTGTGCTTTCCGGGGGTGTGTTTCCATGTCTTAAGGGCGGTGAGAGTGCCCTCCTCTGTCATCTGTTGGCACCAGTTTTGCGCAAATTTCAAGAAAAATAGTTGCGTTTGCGTCAGATTGAGGCCCGGGAGTAGACGGTCGGCCCCGTGAAGCAGTTGTAGCTTTTGAAATGCCTTTATTTGATAATTTAATTTTTAATTCATTTAATTATGTTTTAATTCAAAATTTTAAATAAGGTTTTTACTCGAAATGATTGCTTCACTCCTCCGTTATCAGCGATATTCTTGTAATCAAAACATTGTATTAATTAGTTTTGAGAGAGAGAGAGAGAGAGAGAGAGAGAGAGAGAGAGAGACCAAAAACTTACCTCGCTTAAAGTGAGCATACCATTGATCTAAAATATGGCATTAGATAAACAAATAAAAAATGAATTTCAATTTGTTGAATGGTTGTGAAGGGAAGGCATATGTATTATACCTTATGGTCTTCGTTCATCACTCTAATGGTGTAATTGTTATACTGATTGATCATACACTGAGACTTAGCGATAAACCTGTCGATGGTGTTCGGGTGCCACCACAGTCTCTGGTTGCCAAACTGATCATGGTGACGACCTAACCACCCCATCAATTCACACCATAATCAATGAGAAATGATTTTTCAATAATAAGACAGCGATAATACCGTTTGAATCAAATCCATGCGTTAATTCGTGTCCAACAATCTAATACATGGATGAGTTTGTGAGCTGTCATTAATACGGGTCTAAATGATATGATAGGCAAACACTTACGGATCCAATAGCGCCGTAATTCAATGAATTGGGATAATCTTTGCTAAATAGTGGCGCCTGGAGTACGGCTGCCGGAAAGCCTGCGAGAGAGTGGTAAGTTTATAAATATAATTATGATTAACTCTACACATGATAAATATTTACTCATTAAATTTCTGTATCTATGGTAGTGTGCGTTCACAACACTGGGCACTACAGTCCATCTGAGGGTGGATATGGCAAAGATAGATAGGGTGATTTAATCAGTGATAATTTACAAATTTAATCATAATAATTTCAATGATATTTACTTTTCCCGGTCCACCTCGTCGTACAATTTTGATTGTGTCTTATTTGTCGAGTTTTTGAGAAATCCGATAACATTTTCAAAGTATTTGTCGCTTTCAAAATGAAGCTAGATAGTTTTATTAATTTAATAAATCAGATATTTTAAAATTTGGGAATAACAAAATGTTTAATGCAACTCACGTGACTATATTCATCATCGAGTTGAGCTTGGTCCATTAGATAATCGGGGAAACCAATGTGTTGCTCCATTACAGCCGCCTAATTATTGTAGTTTAATTATGTTGTTATTTAATTAAAATTTAAATTTCTATTTAGTCAAATTTTGGATCATTATTATTTAACAAACTAACCTTGGTCTTAGCATCAGCCCTGGTCTCCTGATCCATCCAAGCGATCTCATCGAGTATTTCGTAAAATTCCTCCTTTATATTAGCGATCATTTGTTCGGCCTTTTAATTAAATAATTTCAATTAAATTATAACAAATAATTTATATTTAATATAATATGTCGTGAACTGACCTTAGCTCTACTTGCGCCGTTAAAATAATTATGCACGTACAGTGCGCTAACAGCCAGACCTACAAAATATTGAATTTTATAATTAAAATGCATGCCATTTAGAATTAATAACAAAAAAACTGACCCATGTTATTATTAACATAGTCGACACACTTTTTCCACCTTGGTGATTGACTTTTTGTGCCGTATATCTCTTTGTAAAAGTCTTGTTGCACTTTATCGAACCGAGCGTCCAGATTGTTGGCCCGGTTCATAACAAACCGCCATAACAAATAGTTGACCACAGTCCTTTTAATTTTTTTAATTAAACATGATTAATAGATAAAATAATCTAGAACATACCTGTGTGGTGTCTGTCCAATGAGCTCCTGTATATCGATAAAATAGTCCAAACCATATATACCGACAAAATCGGTCTCATTGACGGGCACAGGTATGGCTAACTCGAGGTACTGTTTCCAGTCGATGTGTGGCACCAATCGAGTCAGTTTGCGTATAGGCATCCGCTGAAAGGAGGCGCCGCCACTTTTCTCGTACGGCCGCGAAATGTTGGCCAGTTTTGACTCAAACAACAGTAACTCAGTTATGTCGGCCTCAATGGTCAGGTTCGGGGCGTTTAGTAGTCGAGTGTACTCTACCATCAGTTTATGGTAAGCCTTGTATTGACGGCCAGTCGTGTTTTGGTAGAAGTCGGCGCTCGACAGACCCAATGTTGCCGGGTATAGCTATTGGGTTGCAAATTACCATTATTATAAACTATGACAATTGCTTTATAACAGTAAACACATATTAACAATGTAATAATATTGTTTACCTTAATAGCGTATGTGGAGGCGTTGTATTCATGGGGGCCAACGTTGTGGCCGATAATGATCTCGTTGTTATACTGCCTTAAAATGCCCATAAGCCTTATCTAAATTTGTAATTTGCATATATCAATAGTAATAACTTGTGTTTATTTTGCTAATTATGTAATTTGTAAAAATAAAATAAGCCCATGCCCAAATATTTGTTGATTGATATTAGAGGCCAATCGATGGGAATTTATTTTTATTTTATAGAAAGTGTGACAAACTTTTCAATAAGTAAAATTAGCCAAGAAATCTCTCTCTCTCTCTCTCTCTCTCTCTCTCTCTCTCTATTTGTATTTATTTCTTACACTATTCAACACTTATAGTGAACTCATTTTGTATTTGAAAATCATTGCAATGAGAATTGTAAATAAAAGAAATTGTAAAATAGTCCATAAAATAAGTCAAAAGTAATTGTAGAAAAATTAAGATTTCGAGAGAGAGAGAGAGAGAAAGAGAGAGAGAGAGAG